TGGGTGGGTGTGTGTGTGTGTGTGATGTACTACCATATCTAAGTTCGCAATGTTTGTTGTATTTACTATTTAGCATTTATAACCCCGTTTTGTTAAATTGAACGTTAAAATATGAATAATTTAGATTCGGGCACTTCACAAATTGTATTCATGTACACTTGTAGTATATCAAGAAGAAGAAAAAATAGCACGTAAACAAGTTGAATACCCTGAAATGAAATTTCTGGGTGGCTGTATTTGATGTCTAAAGAAACAAACATGTCATTTACATCATAACTAAAATTTGCCATGGTTTCTCCTATTGTTCAAGTTTTCTGTTTCGCTATAGGACTGTGCATGATAGCTATGCATCGCAAAGCAAAGTGAGATCAACTATGCGAAGCCGAACATTCAAAACTAACTATTAGTCAATGTTCATGCTTTTGTCAAAAGGTGAACGACTTTAGCGATCTGACTGAACCTTCGGGTTATTTTTTTTTTGCTTTCACGCTATTGAAGGAGGTAAAGCCCTAACTCAATCTTACCCAGAGTCTTTAACATTAAAAACAGGAATTATTGGTCAATTCCAATTAATATTGATGTGAACAATATTAAAATCAGTACATGCCAGCGTGTACTCTAGTCTTCCAAGCACGAATTGTAATGAGGCGCCTTGATGAACCATGCTAAGCGTTAATGCGTAAGTTACCTGTCAAAGCGTTCTTTCGTTGTATACTGGATTAACTAGGCGCGAGTGACTGTCATTCAATTTGGACTACTCGGCGTTCGCTTATATGTTGGACGAATAAAACTGATTTATAAATTACAATAAAAGTTTTAAAAATGAATGTAAATCAGTTTATACACTTATATTAAATTAATATTTGATTTTTGACCCATTTTAGGTTCCAAAGAATAGAGATTTAGACCCCTTAACGAAGTGAGATCAGAAATATTTGTAGCGTCTTCTGGACTCTGCCTTCGCACTCGTTAATTTGTTTTCGGTTACAAATCCGAGAATCTTGAATTTTAAAGCATATCGGGGTATTTATTTTTAGATCGTAAGAGACTAATTGATCGGGAAATCTGTATTTCCCCATGACCAGATTAAAGTCGAACTCTTTCATTTATAGGCATTATGGAAGATTATAGATCAAGAGCTGACAATTCTCACTAAAAAACTAAATGATGTAAATGGATAATGGTTAAACTTTCAGCCAAATTGCTTCACTCTAAGCCGAGAAAACATTATTTTAACACCACTGTAGTGTCTATTGTTATTGTTATCCGGTAATTAATTCTCGATTATCCATTTTTTGCGTTTTATCATCAACGGACGTTGAATAGCAGACCGGAGTCAAATCCAATGAAAATCGGGCAGATGAAATGGCATCAAGAGTTGTTCATGTTTTTTTCGTGCTAATAAATGTCTAGTTGACAGTTTATGTAACATTCCAGGCCTAAGGAAAAGACATGCAATAGGCCGAATTACCTCTTGCAAGTTGCATAATGCATGTTTAAAGGAGCTAAATCGTTAATATTTTGGACCTACAAATTGAGACAAATGGGTCACAACGTATATAATAATTTAATATGAATGTAAAAAAACTGAAAATCTTCACCCGGTTTCTTGCGGCTGATCTGTGAGCTACCAAACCCAACAACCCGTGCGTGTCAAACCTCGTACAGCTGGTTGTGAGCTAGGCTTTATATCAAACAATTTTGAAAGGGTATGGGAGGTATTTAATCACAGAGAATATTAAAGATACATTATGGGAGATTAGATAACGAGTTGGCAGTTCTCACTATAATAGTTAAAAACAAGATACTGTAAAGGCAATTTGCAGAAAATTTCAGTCAGATTGGTCAACTATGAATCGAGAATTAAGCGATTGAAATTTCCACCTAGCCTCGATCATTATTACTAAAGTCGGTACGATAAAAACATAGTCGTGAAAGAAAGTTAAGCAGTAAATCTGAACATAATCCACTAAAGATCGCAAGCTAGCGATGCCACCAAGCGTTGATTGTCGACTGGATAAGTTAAACATGCATTATGCAAGAGCAAAATCTGCTTATTACAAGTCTTTTTTTAGACCTGAAATGTTATCTAAATTATCAATAAGACATTAATTAACTTATCCAGACCATAATAAACTCTCCATGTCAAGGCTAGCCTTCGATGTAGGCTGGATTAGATTCCTATATGCCGCTAACGGCCAAAGATAATTAAATCAGAAAAAGTGGATAATCGAGACTATGCTGTTTATATTAATTATTTTAGTAATGATGACCGAGACTATGCAAAAATTTCACCCGCTTCTTTCTCGGCTCATAGTGGATCAATTTGACCGAAATTTTCAGCAAATTACCTTTACACTATCTAGTTTTTAACTATTATAGCGAGAACTGCCATCTCTTTATCTTATCTCCCATAATGTATCTTTAATTAATATCTAAATTAATAATTTAGATAACATTTCAGGCCTAATTTCAGGCAGATTTAGCTCTTGCATAATGTATGTTTAATGAGATGAGTTCGATCGTTCTATTATGAATCTCGGATGTTTTTTTGCAGCCTGCTTAATGATGTCCAACTACAATGAATCCAGTGCGTGCTCTCATCGTCTGTATGGTATATCTCCTATTCAATTAAATATTATTATTGTTAGCCGCTGTTTTGGAGAATGAATAATATTTTTTGCGAGGGCACAATAGTTGTTTTTTTGCACTATCTAAGGAATGATTAAACGGGGTTAAATATCGAGAAGGCATTGAGGGGTAAAGAAGGCAACATGTATTTAATGGCCAATCTAGCCCAATTTGTTTTCTTACTCCTGTATACATGTCAACTGCATGATGTTAGGCCAGGAATATAAATATCAGTGTTTATGGAAATGAAATGAAATGGGGGTTAATGTCCTACTGTTCTGCTTCGACTGGGCTAATGGAGACGGACATACGCCATACAGTGTGCAATGAAGCCGGGCAACGGCACTATGGCCTACTCTTATATCGAATTCGAACTGCCAAGGGATCTTTTACGGGCACGCCAATGTATACACGGGACCTCGATTTTTCGTCTCATCCGAATGACTAGACAACTATCCTTGTCAGGCAAGGGGAAACCACGCCGAAAAATCCAGATGAACTCTCCAGGCTAGCGAGTCAGCGTCTTAGCTACCGTGGCTCCCCATTGTTTGCGGATATTTGCTCCCCTCCTCAATTTGTTTTATTTTTCTGGTGTGATTTGTATTATCTATTATTTAGCATTTCTAGCTAAATTACCGAGTAAAGTTCTTGAAAATAATGCCGAAATTTCATTGTTGGGATTTGTCTACAGCAAATCACGCCGAGACGGAATTAGCGGCCTCGGAAATGAGAAAAAAGGTTTAGGGTCGGCGATTTTGGCTTAAGGTCGGTCGGGTAAAGGTAAACACAGGTATTTCTTTTTTTGGTGGCCTTACTCAGATGTTGTCCTTGTAGTCGACTATTCGAATAGGAGGTGTAAACAGGGCTAGAGCTAACCCTAACCCTAGATCTAGCCGTGACCCTAACCTTCAATCCCTTCAACAATCACGTGTACTAACCCTATTTACATCTCGCGACCTTGTAATAGTTAGACATGACTGTGTTTTAACACTAAGTCACACTTGATTCTTCGGGTAAAAAAACATCTTCGCCTGACCAGGCAGTGATGCAAAACAAATGGCATGACCTACAATGTTTTTCAACTTTATATCAAGTTACAATTGTTTAATCAGCCAAAATTATACTCAAAAATAATACGGGAGTAACCAGGTTTATAAGTTGACGTGGAAATCGGACATAGGGAGAGATAAAAATCCATAACTCCATTTGAACATGCGCAAGTGTAGTTATTTGTTAATGCGTTGTTGCTGTTTGGGGCCACAGTGGCTTAATGAGTAAGACTTTGGTTCCCAAACCTGGGGGTCCCGTGTTCGATCCCGCTATTGGCCTCGAAAATTCTACAGGATTTTCCGATGCGGTTCCCCAACTACAGGAAGGAGGACCCGAGGTCCCGTGTACACATTGGCGTTCACGTAAATGGCTGTTGGAATTCAATATAAGAGTAGGCCGTAGTGCCGCTTTGCGGGTAAAATTTCCCCTCATAGCAGACTGTATGGCGGATGTCCGTCTTCATTAGCCCATATCAGTCGGTGCAGGACAGTGGGACATTAAACCCCATTTCATTTCTATTCTGTTGCTTCTCGTGTTGGTCGAGAAAGTTATTCGCAAGTTTTCGGCGTGGTTTCCCATGTTAGTGGTGCAGGGGGCCCGGCAAGAAAGATTTAGTCATTCGGATGGTATTCCAAATAGGAGTATAAGCCATAGAGCCGCTGTCCTGGCAAAATGTCCCGCCTTCATTAGCCCGGCTGGTGCAGAAAAATTGAGAGAGAGAGAGAGAGAGAGAGAAATGGGGTTTAACGTCCACTCGACACAAACTAGGTCATTTCGGGACCAACATACGGTTCAATTTTGTTTCAATAATTCGTTTGCGCGTAGGGGTCTTTAGCAGTGGGAGGAAACCGGAGGACCCGGAGAAACCCACGAGGTTGGACAGGCGACCCTACTCCTTGTCACGTACAACCGGGGAATCGAAACCCCGCCAGTTGACTCAATGACAGACCGTATGATAGAGCGCGCGCGTGCTAACCATTCGGCCACCCAACCTCCCCAGAAAAATTGAACCCGCCTTACATTTCTAAAGATTGAACTTAAACATTAGGCTATTGTTGTGCATTCAAAATACCTCTAACGACTTTCATGCCCCAGAGCACCTGGGTCAGAATAAAATTGGTGTCTCCCAAACCATGACGAAAAAGAAAAATATAACTTTATCAAACAAACAATTTAAGGTGAATGACTTGAAATAGCGATTAGTCCCCATGGGGGCTCGGGAATACAGCTAATATACTTTATGTCTTTTATGTCAAATAAAGTCTAATATTTGTCCTTTGCCGATAAGGACATTAAAATCGAAGAACAAAACACCCATACAAATTATAATAGATTTATTTATTTTTTATTATATCGTGTGAGAATCATACAATGAACATATTAAAACACTGAAAATGTAGAATAATAATTTAACTCATATTTCGCAATTATACATAAACTAATTAATTAATAATCTCGTCAAAAATCACCCTAATATTAAAATATTAATTATCACCGAACACATTATTGCTATAAACCCCAAAATACAAACATTTCCCTCTGAGCAAAAATATCTTAAAATACACATGAAAATAAAACATTTATTACAAAAAATATATTTCAAACTTCTTTTTCTTGTGAGTTAAAAATGAGTAAATCACCCGAATAACTTGGGTCTTTTGATGCATTCAGACTACAACTTGACTCATGGTTGGCTTTGCATTTTAAACAATGCTTTAACTCATCATCGTGTAAATGTACGTAATATTAATATGTTTTACCAACCTGATTATCTGATTAAAAAACAGATCTATATTTCGTTTCGTTTTTCTTATACTTTCGATGGCCTACACTACATGATGATCTGACCAGTTGTATTGGGAGGTCGCGTCAGACATTTGATTAACCAATCGGCATTGAGGTTTCTAGTGGATTACCTACAGACCGTTTCATGGGCTAATCCCTCACATCACCTAGAACACGTCAACGATAACAACTCTTCCAGATCCTAGTGTAGTAAAGACAAGCAAAACGAAATTTTGAACTATAAAAAACGAAACGAAACAGGATTTATGTTTTAATCAGATTGATGTTTTACCATCAGATTATTTATTAATTTGTTCATAATAAAAGAGCAGACCGAGTTTAGAAAAAATAAAATCTGACTAAAACGAAGATTTTTTTCTAGGACATTAACGAGTCGTAATCTCCAAATTATTCATTTTAACGTATTTCATGATTATGACATGACACCCCTCAATGTGGCCTTGATTCTCATGATCGGTTAAATTTGTGTAGGTTTCTAATTTTATAGTGTTTGTGTAACAGAGAATGGACCCATTAAATCAATATGATTAAATGTACCCAGATCGTATGGTACTAAAAAACACACCGAGCAATTTTTGGTCACTGAATAACAAACTTGGCAACTTACCGCCGGCGATAAAAGCGGTTGTCCATTGGCGTTGCACCCAGACGATCTTTTCAAGCTATATGTGGACCAACGAAAATCGCGCACAAATTGCCTAAGAAATTCGCACATCTACGCTAGTGTTAAGAATGACTAGAAAGCAAGAAAATTAATAAAGATCTTGTCACTTCTATAACTTTTATCTCTCTTTTTTTTCTAGTAATGACTTTACCAAACAAACCTACAAGCAAGATGTACAGTAGCCATTGCAGTCTTATCTCAAAAATCACAGTCAACTCAGACACTCACCGCATTCTGTTTACTAGACATTAGTATCGGAGTTGTACCATCATTGATATAATAATGCATAATATATTAAATGGTCAGTCTCAGATATATTTTAGTGAAAACAAAATTGTGTTTTTTGGACAAAAAACCGTTGGTAAAAATATATCTTGGTATTGTGCACCTATCTGACACTTGAAATAAAATAAAATCAAAACGGCTGTTAATATCCTACTTCTCTACACGATACGTTTTCTAAGGAATACAAAAAATGCCAGTCTCCAAATTCCACGCTGTGTGACTACTTCGATAACAATCGTCTCGATTACCTAGTCACTCATAGAATTAAAGAAAAAATTCTTTAAATGAGTTACTTATTCCCGTTTACCAACGCTACGAATAGTTTGGATGTTTGATTTCACATACTTAAATCCACCTTGTTTACGGTGTCGAGTGAAATCTGGCACTGACCTTTAATATATTATTACTCGTCATTCATCAGCAAATCAGAACACTGAGAGTTGGTCCCTATATCAAGTTTAAATCAATGACATTTAATGTCGAAACATTTTGAATTCTCGGGATAATTTAGAAAATAAAAATGTATATTCACATTTTATAATAGTAATCAATAACTTCGGGATATTAAGAGCTCTTGGTCCAAAAAGATTTACATATATCAGATAAAATTTACATAAAGTGTAAATGATTTGTTACCACTTCAATTGTAACCCAATCAAAATATAGATCTAGAATATAGATATATCGCCTGTTTTGTTAATCAATTCAGTTTTATCTGATAATGTAAATTCTCAAGGTCTTAGAACCCCACACGCCCTGCTTATCATTCATGATAATGGCATGATGACTCGCTATTATTCACTTACGTCAGTGATTATATCTACATTTGAATAAATATCTACAAATGTCTATATAATTATGAAAGCCACAATGGTATATGTGTATATTATGTTGAGGAACACGATAACATCGTGAAAAAATGTAAATAATTATATATAATGACGTCATGGATCAATAAATCTGCTAGTTACATCAGAGTATTATTATGTCAGTATAAATTTCTTTTTTTCAAAATGTTTATTTTAAATGCCGGTGATAAAATCACGCAAAAAATTTACAAAAGGCCTTTGTGTAAGTCCAGGATAGACTTTTGTGTAAGTCCAGGATATGCTTTCCTGTAAGTCCATGTAAGCTTACCTTTAAGTCTACGATGGTCCGTATTTTAAGTCTACGATATAACTTCAAGATAGCCCTTTCGCAAGTCTACGACACTCCATAAACTTACAATGCCTCGTCATGTTTACGACATGCTTGATCACAAGTCTGTCTTCATCCATTTTTTTAAAGTTTTACTACGATAAATAGAATTACGATATCTGATAACAAACATTAACTCATAAAGTTACGATATCTCAAATAGGTACTAACATTAACTCATAAAGTTTTATACAAGAACAACAACACAGTAAAAAAAAAATATTTACAAATTGTGCATAAACTGGGTCGACTTGACAATAAAAAGTAGCAAGGAAGAAAGAAAAAAGAATTGATTCACTCCTTTCTCGATCTATATATAATCCTAAAGACGATCTGCGCTAAAAACAAGCCTTAAACGTCTCCATTCACGATATATCTATAATTAATATCAGAAGTAATGTGGACGTTCGATATCAATATTGGTGTTACATCAATAAACGGGGACATGATTCATAACGTTCTCGAGATGAAAAAAAGATATGCGTGCGTTCAAATATGATTCGATTTATTTAGAATGAGTATGAATGGGGTTATATAGATACGTTATTTAATTTAGATCGTTGATATGTTACAACAACCATGTCATGGTGTACTTCCACGAGCTTGTAACGAATTTTCGCAAAATGTAAGTAACATTTGTATCTCGAAATTTTGCGCTTTTACTTCAAATTTGTTATTTAAAAAATCAAATCCTCCAAGTTAAATTGTCACTGACCATTGGTAATTTTTGTCATGCTGAAATTTCCAAGTTCATATTTGCAATGAATTCAATAAAATTTTCTGATAATTTTTTTAACTTCTATCATTCATCATATAAACACTGCATGGGAAATAAGCCCAAGAATGTTTCAAATATTTTTTCATGCACTGCAAAGGTTCACTCCTGATACGAGTCAATCGTGCGGAACAATATCAGCCCCCCCCCCCCCCAACTCACTAGCCCGTTTGCGATTAACATTAATCACATGTCCCGGTTTTTCATCAAAAGAACAGAGTTAGGATGAATTTAATGAGAGAGAATGGTGGATAAAATGAGTGATAGGACACCGGTATAAACAGTAATATATGCTGTTGTGGCGGAGCTTGAGTAGAAATTATTAAAGACTGATCTTGAATGTAGCGGCTGGACTGGTCGGAAATTGTCCTTTATGTGATAATGTTCGTTTTTGGGACCGGTTTCAGAAGACATCAGTGAACGAAATGTCGCCATCTGTAAAAAGAAAAATTAGGCATTTTTTGAGAATTCAAAATTATCTTTACAGAAGAGCCATATTGCGTTTCATATATAGGGCTACGATTTTCCTTGGGCTTTTATGTATTCGTAAATGAATACTGAATGTTTATGGTCAGATTTTAAACTGTCCCCAGTTAACTTTACGTTAGCTTATGGCACGAGATCATTAAACAACTTAAAATACAGACACTATCCAGCATGTGCATTTCAATGACATACGTCACGCAGGTCCAATATTTCAACAAGTATAAATAATGTACGCTTGGCACAATGCCCGTACTAACATTATTTGAAATAATGGTACGCCAACATTAAAGGATGACGTCACATCTGTAAGTTAAGAAAACTTTAGGTCATTAGTGTCTTACAAAGATACGAGATCGCGTTTTACCTCGGACGTACCCGACCATATCCCAGGAGATCTTATCTATATTTGGACAATAAACGTACCTGGGTTTTTGAGATTTTTATAGTTTCAGTAAAAACTGTCCACACAACAACTTCATTACATGAGGGTGTTGTCAAACTTCCACTGTATCGGAAAAAGTTGGTTGGTTTACTTGGGATAAACTTCATCAGAGCTGTGTTGGTTAAATTTACCAGGTCTGTAATTTAAAATAAATGAATTAGACAAACATCACAACGCACATCGTCAGTCACGATCATTCCAGCCGTACTCTCTGGAACAATGTTTACTCTTATCAGTTTTAACAAATGACATGGCGGTTGCACTACTCGGGCATTATTGTGTCTTTCTTGTAAATCATAGTTATGGGTTGTTGTTTTTTTTTAGTAAGGCCTATGTCATTTCAGACTCGGGAATCTACAGCGCTGTTGATCCTAACGGTTCACTCCCGGATCAATTCACTTGATTTGACATTAAGTTGTTAATTGCTTGCAGTGTAGTTTGTGTCGTGTTTGCGACATCCGTAATCACATGTGAAGATAAACACACGAAAGACGATCCACGTTGATGATATTTAATATTTTATAAAAAAATATTATGAGTAATATACCCTGTCAATGCTCAGTATTTATAATTTTTAAAAATCTTTACCTGTTTAGATGTATAGCGGTACAAAGTGAGTACGGTGACATTTTCACGCTGACCCATATGATTACGAATCGTTTTAATCAAATGTTTCTAGATCCGAAATGTTAATAAGGCTTCTAAATCAGGTCGTGGTGTGTTCATACCTGTCACCTGCCATTGCGATCAGGCGTATGGACGACAAATCTGAGTTTTTGTTAGATTACATGATTTTTAAGCAATACTAATCATTCGTAAAGCCCTGCTTCGATTTGAATCACTGCAACTGAACTTTACGGGATGGAATAGCCAATCGCGTTCTCTCGCCCTCCCCCTTCTCTGCAATTCTACACTTACAGAAATCCTCTCTGGCTAACCACTACCATTGACGATGTAGTAGCCTAGAAGCGATGGTTCTCTAACCGAGAGAGTGTGAGATGGAGTTTATCGTCCAATTTGCAACAACTAGGTCATTTCGGGACTACCATATGGCTCAATTTTATTTTAATAAATAGGGTTTTTTTTAGCAGTGGTGGTGGTGGGGGTGGGGGCTGAAGGACCCGGAGAAAACTCACGAAAGCACACCAGTTGACCAAATGCCAGACCTAAAGATCTAAAGCACAATCATTAGACCATTGGCCCCCCTGAATTCCCGCTTTTCTAATAATATGGGTAATATGTTCCGCTAATTGTCAATAACATACTTACTGCTAGTGTTGTATGCTGTGATGTTAGATAATTTAGAAATAAGATCAGCATAATTAGCATTATCACTGTCTGAAATCTACAAATAAAACATATAAATATTAGCACATTAGGCGTTACACGTGTTTCAAGGGAATATTCTAGTCGTAATGCCTATAAGCAAATGATATTGGATTTAGCCTTCTACTTTTCTGCACCAACCGGACTAATGAAATCGGGCATATGCCATACGGTGTGCTATGGGGTAGATTTCGTCCTTACAGTGGCAGTACCGTTTATTCCAGATGTCGGTTTTTCGTCCCATACGAATGACTAAAGTATTAATAAAATTCCTCAAAGGGGCGGTATCACTTACAATACATATCTTAATTTCTAACCTTATCATATTGAAATATGCTTAGGATGTGTTTCTGATAGCTTCGATATTGAACGTGTGCGATTAATTTGTTTAGATATTTCTAAAGCAATGGTTATGAGTACGATCAACTCATTAACCATTGTTAAACCTTACGGTAAAATGGTATTTTGTTTATTTTGTGCAACAAAAAATGAATATATGTCTTACCTCAAACATGAATCCAAGAACCGCCAGACCATCTTTTTCACCTACAGAATTTCCTAGACTTCCTAGAGAATTTTTATAATGGACGAAATGAACCTAGAAATTGAAGAGGAAAAATATTATTTTCTTAGAGCTTCAAAGTCATAATAATATTAGACATGCTGCATCCATGGTATTAGGAAGGATCGTTACAATATCAGCATTTTTTAATAAAATTTTAAACTGCATTTACTGAACTAAACAATTCCCCAAATAATCGATTGAAAGCAAACTAAAAATGTTACGAATAATATGTCGTAGACCGAATTTCCATATGAATATAGGCAAATACGATGTTATTCTATTTTACTTTGATTACGTGCATCTCAAGTGAAGGGGCTTGTGGAAACAAACAAATACCAACTACCAACATGTTGCCGGTGAGGTGACCCCTGGAAAGGAAGAAACGTCTTGAAAAACAACCGAATCCTCTTCTTGTCAAGCGTCAATTTTATAATTAAAAAATACAGCAGCATTATTCAAAGAGAACTTACTTCCATGGGAAAGGTTTTGCTATTAAGTTGATGTTCGGAACCTTTCATGTCATCAGATCCCCAATGGAAGTGAAACTGCACAAGTTTATATTGTTCTGAAAGGCCGCCTTTCGAAATATATTGATCACCGGTGACGTCAACTTGGGCTGAAATAATAATAAAATATTAACATACAACAGCTTAGTGAAACTCCAGGTTTCATAGGCCTGGTTGGAGCAGAAAAGTTGTATTCCATTCATTCATACATTAGTGACAATCATACTTATACAACAATAATACAATTCTGATACTTCAAATGCCCAAAGAACTATACATATCCAATCAGTTGTTAGCCACATTAAAGATAGCGTGTGTAAGGTGGGAGCCACGGTAGATAGGTCAATAAGACGCTTATTCACTAACAGAGTGGTCCCGGGTGTGCTCCCTGTGTTTACCGAGAAAGTCCTAGTCATTGGTGCAGGAAAGGAGAGCCTGACAAGGAAAGGTTAGGTCTGAATAATAAGGCACCTGCAGATTTCGTCAAGGTCACGAGATTTTAACAGGATTATGGCACGTGATTGTTGCCGAGGATTGTGGTTAGGATTCGTGTAAGGGTTAGGTCTAGGGTTAGGTTTAAGAATTTGGGGGAGAGGTTAAGTCTCCACATAAGCCCATCTTCATTGACCCAATTGATGCACAATGGCAGGACCTGAAACCCCCATTTCACTAAGCAGGAAGTCCATTGTTCGGGTGTTGACCTCGGTGGTGCAGGTGCAGGACGGGCGGCCTCGCAAGGAACACCGTCTAGTCGTTCGGATAGGACGAAAAACCAAGTTCCCGTCCACACCTTGGCGTGCACGTAAAAGGACCCCTGACAGTTGGAATTCAATTGAAAAATTTCATTCATAGTACACGGCATGTTGTTATATCCGTCTTCATTAATCCGGTTTGTGAAGAAATGTAAGACGTCAAATCCTATTTCATTTCATTCCTATTTCATATCTGTTTCACGCCTAAACGCTGGTTTGCAGTATTACCTGAAGAAGCCCTGAACGAAATTACATCCCACGCTTGTGTCCATTTCAGTTGCCCATTAATGTAATTAGTTGAATGCTAGCACAGATATGTTAAGTTCAGGTAGACAAACTCGAGTATCAATGGAGGGTATCGGTCAGTTGAATTATAAATAAAGTTTTAATGTCATCCGTATATCTCTAAACATCCATAGTGGAAATAATACTCACTGATCTACAATCAAGATTTTAGTGGATTTTGGCCGGTTTGAGTAATAATTTTAATTGTAACAATTCAAATGGTTTACAAACATCTAAATATGTACCAGTTATAATTGGTCTAATTGAGTAATTTTGGGACTGATCTGGGTTTTTTTTCTTTTCTATTAAACATACATTATGCAAGAGCTAAAACTTCCTATTGAATGTCTTTCTTTAGGCCTGAAATGTTATCTAAATTATTAATTAGACATTAATTAACCAGACCATAATCAACTCTTGGTGTCATCGCTAGGATACGATTTGCTGCTCAACTTTCATTCATGATTTAATCATGAAATGGATAATCAAGACTATTTTTTTTATCGTACCGACTTTAGTAATGATGTTCGAGGCTAGGCCGAAAATTCAATCGCTAAATTCTCGGTTAAGAGTGGATCAATTTGCATAACGGTATCTAGTTTTTAACTATTATAGTGAGAACTTCCAGCTCTTTATCTAATCTCCCATAATGTATCTTTAAAGTAATTTTGATTGTGTATGGCTTTAACTCTGTTTCCTAACAAGGTTAAATTGATTGTGTGTGGTTTTAACTCTGTGTATAACCTTAATTCTAACAAGCTCAAATTGAAGCGGAAACCTGAACTAACAACGCCCTTTACAACCAATTTCCAGAAAATTGACTGTAAATGAACAAAATTCGTTGATTATATTTCACATAACAGTTTTAATATCGGTTTATTTGTATCTAATAAGAAATGGAGTAAAACTTTTTACTTTTTACATCTTGTAAACTACATTATTGTATATATTCTAAAGATCTGCGGTTTGCTTCGGTGGACTTGATAGCTTTGACATTTCAATAGATTGTTACCACGTGGAACATGAATGTCGATGTGGGGTGTGATATGGATCCAATACGCAGAGAAGCGCAGTTTTTCTATGCTATGTCACCATGTCCCGTAGAGGTATTTAACCGATTCAGTCCAGGTCTGATATGAATTAAGTATTATGCTAAATGAACATTAAACATTTCCACATTGGGGGTTTATTAAAGAATAAATTAACTACGTGATTTAGATACTCCGTTTTCTAGACCAATTTGAATAACTATGTAATAAAGGAGCCGAATTGATTAAATCGCGGTATGGAATTTTATCTACCCTGTCTGGTTGAGAAACGGAGCCACGGTGGCTAAGTGAGTAATATGCTGGCTCGCTAGCTTGCAGGTCGCGGGTTCGCTTCCTGCGTTGGCAGAGAAAGTTCATCGGGATTTTCCGGCGTGGTTTCTCCTTGTCATTGGTGCAGGACGGAGGGCCTGACAAGGACATCTGTCTAGTCGTTCGGATGGGACGAAAAGCCGAGGTCGTTGGAATTGGATATAAGAGTAGGCCGTAACGCCGATGTCCGGGCAAAATTTCCCTCATAGCACACTGTATGGCGTATGCCTGTCTTCATTGGCCCAGTAGAACAGTAGAACGTTAAACCCCGTTTATTTTGGTTTAGAACCTGGTGAACTCTAACAATGAAGTGAACTATTTTCCCACGACAACAGGGCTACCAAAAATGGGCGTACACCATGCAAGGAAATTGACCCGGACAATGGCGTTTTCGCCGACTCTTCATCGAATGACAACTACCGAGGATTCTTTTTTCAAGCACGCCAACGTGTACGCGGTACTTTAGTTTGTCGGCCCACGAATTCTCCTTACCTGGCCTCTGTCACTACACCAATAACAAATGGAGACCGCGCTGAAATAGCCCGTGGAACTTTCGCGGCTAATACTTGACTAAAACCTGGGATCCCCTGGTTAACAAGCCACTCATCGTACGTCTTTAATTAAAGTTAAACAATGGTATATCCAGCTTTTACGAAAATGGACGTAGGGAGGGCTTGGAAGTGGTCCTTAGCGGATGAAACGAGTGAGTGATAATACTAATAGGGCACAGATCTTCATGATTATTTTAACATATCTTACCAGTGTGTCCGTTGTTTTTAATTGTCAAGGCAACTGGTGTGTCATATCCAGTCATTGTCATGTTTCCAAGGCTAGCTTGTAATGTTGAATCGGAAGCCTCAATATTGATGGGTGATTGACTCTTGTCGCCACATGTAGGGAATGTCTCCGCCCATTTAGAGGGACCTAAAACATAGTAATATACATTTAAACATTGATAATTCCACAGACTTTGAATTACAATCAAATTAACTTGACCACGATATAAAAGAAAGTACCCCTAAGTCTGAGAATTGGGCACAACATCGATCCATATATTCCTATAGCATACCGTTTATGTTGATGAAATTCTAAGCAATAATTAAACTCCATGCTTATTGTTGTTTTGAATTTTTTATGGGTGGAATATTATTTAATTTTTTTGGTGGGGGGGGGGGTAAAAATATCAAATATACGTACCACTGTCCTCGTATCCCCACACTGAAAATGAGTAAAAAAATACTTTAATTCTCTAATAATTCTTGATAATTACTAAAATAATAAACATTTATATAGACACGATATCTATAATTTCAGTTGTGTATATCTTTCAGAAACGACCTTTAATGTCATGTTGATATGTAATATAACAAAATGGCTTGACATGATATTTCTGTAAATAATACGGTATCCATACGACGTTTTATAGTCAATATTAAAATCTTCAAACCCGATAAACTGAACGAAAGTAAATAAAGAAGAATGTGGCCTTTAATTAAAAAAAAAGCACCACGGCTTTTGATTCAAAACCACTGTTCACGTCAACGCATAGCGTCTCTTGGGTAGAGTATTACTATTAAATGTAAGTGACAAAGCTGGAACTGGCAACATTTTCAAAGAGTAGAATATTAACCAAATCGATAGCTGATATTGTTGGAACTCAATAACGGACAGGGAGTTGTGAAATTCCTTTTAAGTTAGGAAAACTCATTGAACGGATAAAGGTACTATTAACCCGTTTAATGTTCGCATTTTGGACAGCAAGTCTCACATTGTAACCAATAAGTAAAATCGGAGCTATAAGGGTTAACAAATATTTTACTCGTCCTCAGAATTAATAAATATCAACCCTGGACCAATTATGGCCAGCAATGGACGTTAAAACAGAATAACTAATACCCATAAACGCTATGTTTTCTTATACGTGGAGCATTTCCCAAAAGGTATAGATGGCATAACTGGAATAGCTGAAACTGGCAACATTCTTGTACATACTCGACTTCAACATGTGGCAAGTCTGACGTCTAGAATTCATTACCTAGTATCGTGTGTGTATATATACAAAACAAAATCATTTCCTTAGTTCCATATAAACAGTTTATAAAATAGAAACTGTTGTTTAAACAGTTTAGATTATAAAATAACACAGTTTCGAATGTAAAGAGATTAGTGGTGACAGATCCGTAATTCCTTAATTCTCTTATCATGTCATATTTATATTTTTAAGTTTACTAGTCATTGAGGTGATATGTTCTATTGTCCTTACAGGGACCACCCCGATTTTAACAGTCTCAGAAATAAAAGTCCGTGTACCGATGAAATAAAAGCGCCAAAATATAGCGGAGTGGTGCATTTTTCAGCTCAAAATATTGAGTCGTTTGGACGTGAACGTCAAAACCGCTTGTCTGGACAAGTAACCCTTTTAAGATTTCGGGTCAATTTTTTCGTTAAGTGACCTGATAATCTATTGCCGTTTCTTTAGAGGTGCATGGCCCACGTGCTGTACTTGATACCGAAAAGGTAAATTTTAACTACATGTTTTATAAAATAAAAGTCTGGTTTTATCCAGATCCAGACACCATATAATACAGCTTGGGACACCGGTCTCCATTTCCAGATGATCTAATAATAGTGTATGACCTGGGAGAGGGGGGGGGGAGGGAGAGAGAGGGGGTCCGTGCAATAGAACTGGGAAAACAATCTGATTAATGTCCAGAGAGAACTTTATTTGAACCATATAATAAATATTTGTTAGCTTTCCGCCCATGACTTACACAGATAACAAGTTAACGATCTACAGCGTACGCGTTATACATCACCCGTTTAGGTGCCAGAGATTGGTGAAAACGTTCTGGTTAATGTCCGTAGACAATTCTGTTTGAACTTATGTGTTAGTTCTATTCGCACACATTAATTAGAAGGAAGTGACATGTGGTCTAGGAAAAAGCTACACATACACTGCCTCGAGGATGACACTTTTTGAACTCTAATGTGCATCCCACGTTTGAATGGCACGATACCAAAGTACATCTGTACTATTATCTTCAACAGATTCCTGTTTTCGAAAGTCAAGAATTCTTATCGTGTCTGGTTTGTTTCGTGCATTTCCAGATGTTCATATAGCAAACTTTATGATTCTATTTCTGCAGAATGATGTACAGTGGATATATCTATCACTTTAAAGAAACGTCATCTTCATATTAAAAGTGTTATTAAAGGTACCCCAACCGTATGTTAGTCCCGAAATGATCTAGTTTGAGTCGAGTGGACGTTAAATCTCATTTTCTCTCTATTAAAGGCACAATGTTCCAGACCCAAATGCAAATAAGTAGTCATGTTAAAGTGGAGAGTGCGATTTTTTTTGTGGGGGGGCGGGGGTCGAGACGTCTAAATGTCAGTCAGCTATGATGCTCGCTACTATCAGTGGGAATCGGTTAATCTGAAGAGTTATTGGGGCTTGAAGACCCGCTCTCTTATCAGATGTTTTATCAGATGTGTTGAAATAAGTCAATATCCGAGGACAAAAGTCTCATGGCGACTGAAGCGTAATACATTTAGCATATCATCAACCCTAGCAGGCTGAATTAATACATAACGGGTTGTAAACGAATCAAATCGGGGTTCTAAAGTTAATAATAGACTATGTATAATGTTCTTTCATTTATTTACCGCTAAACATAGAAACTTACATAATGATGACATAAAAATATACGGTGATACATAAAAAACATTTGATTCAAATTAACCAGTCGAGTGTTACTCTCAAATAATATTACTTGTTATTCGTGATAAAAAAAAACACCATAATGAAAAAAGCGTACGTTCTAAATTTTGAATTATTTTTCTTTGCAGGATCTTCAGCCTACTACGGACAACATAAATTGTCGATTGATATCAATGAATTTTTTGTTCAATAGCATTGAAAAGTTATCGCTCTTGGTTCTAAATATTCTATGTCCACAAAATCATATATCATCTAAGAGGCGATCCCATAATTTCGGTCACGATAATGCTTTTCCTTAGAAAACGGTTTTATATGATATTCTGTATTCGGGAAGAAGGGCGACATTTATTTAAAAATTCAAACGCATGGTTTTGTTTATGGACGCCATATCTAACAGTTCACTCAGCTAACACCATTCTCTGCCGCCATTCATTTTTTGTTTTATCTATTCATTATTTGAATTTTTTTTTTTTATTTATTCAAAAATTCAAAGACATGTTTTTCTAAGGCGACCATTCTTGTCATTACATTTTAAAGAGTTCATACATATGAGAGAAATAATGATTTAGCCATTATAGTCAAGGGTGTGTTTAATTTAACCACTCTCTCATATCAAGAGTGTATTTAATTCAGTTACAAGGAGTATCGAAACAATATAGAAATCATACAACTTAACAATGGGCAGGGGCGCACAAACATATTTTCCCGGGGGGCTGGGGGGGGGGGGGGTAGTTGGGTGGCGCCATCAAAAAATCGACCCACTCAGCATTAGTTCCCTGCATCGCACACTAAGAATTCGCTGCAACAGATCGTTTCATTGGCTAATCCCTTACACCAGCCAGAACGCGGGTTATTTAACAACTATTCCGGATCCTAGTGTAGTACAGACAAGTAAAACGAAATTTTGAATCATAAAATCTGAAACGAAATAGGATTTTTGTTTTAATCAGATTGCATATCAATAAAACGCAACAACAAAGGAAAATTCGCCGGCATAATCTCATGATTCTTGTTTCCGAAAAAAAAAACGTACAAAAAGATAGACGGTGATCAGTATCATTTACGTGTAATATAATATGTTCACTTTCTACTTACATATACTTGACAATGTAGCTACGGTGCGCAGGAGTTTCCTCGTGAGCAAGGAGTTTCCCCGTGAGCACGGGTAATTTCACTCAATACTTGACACTTTTGTTTTGATTGAATGCCGAAGAGACTGCGACAAACGTGCCCATTTTCCCGAAAAAAACTGGCCCACTCGGCAAAAAAATCGGCCCATTTGCCTATCTGGACTAAGATCAAGCGGTGCCCCCGACTCCAATACACCCCCGTAGTGCGTCCCTGACAATGGTCTACTTATATTTTATGTGTAACAGTGGCAAACCCCGTCTTATTCCTGTGAAATTATAAAGAGCCACTTATTTGATGTATAAAAGTATCGAGCCCCCTTATTGCTCCTGTGTAACGGCCATCAAATCCTAGATACGATCAATAACTGTTCGCTTTATTCATATATATATCTAGATATTAGATATATAGAAAGATACAACGACATTCTAAGGGTGTTTTTAAGTTCTTTACCCTCCTGGGATTGGTTCTGTTTGCCTCGAGAAAAAAAATTGTATTTTTACGAGGCGTAGAGGACAAGATGGCGTCTAGAACTACGTCTGTCAAGGGCATATGATATTTGGTACTAAGGTATCGATGAATAATCTACTATCGGGACATCTAGAATAATATTAGCGATAAACATGCCGTTGATAAAACATGTCCTTTAGAACAGTTTAAAGTCGTTTTTGTGCCTTTAGCTAATTGTATGTTATTAAACACAAATAAATCTATGTTTGGGGTAGGAATTATATATATAAATATAAAAACTCGTCATTTATCAATTTCCTAAAGACTACTTCATACATGCATAGAGCGTTTAAAAGATTTACAATTGGTCGTGTCTGGGCCTCATTAATGGACATATTCTAAACATGTTGTCTAGGAGGGGGGGGGGGGTACATTTCTATATCAGACGGAAAATTAGTATTTATATAAATGTAATGTGCATTAATTCCCTTTGGTGCGTCGTTAGTTTGCTGTATTTTCTGATTTACATCCTCAAAATTCCGTTCACACTTCTTAACTTCGCATTGGTCATTTCTCTCCGTCTTGCCTGTTAACTCATGGCAAAGCGAGGCTGCGGCAGAGGAAGATTTCTTGCCTGTAACGAGCAGTCCTAGTGAAATCGAAACTTGAACAATATGAGTGCGCATGCCAGATACAGACCAGACGGCGGAGGGAAACCACTTATCGCCTTCAACTTCGGGTTAAAGACTCATAGCAACGCGGCGGGGGGGGGGGGGGGGGGCAAGAATGAGCCAAAGGGTACTGATCGGCCTCCATAGCTTGGGTATATCATTATTCAATTTGCTTCTTGTGTGTAAATGGCCACCAATTTCTAACTTTTCACCGACCATCCCATTCAAGTCTTAAACAACAAACCAAT